TTTCTACATTTTATACAATTTTATGTATTTTCTTATTTATTAATAACATCCATTTAGCATGGATAGTTTAACCACTAACCCACCACTTGGATTGAAAAGCCATTTTGCTTTTTCGGTTGGTTTTAAATCATGTATTCTATTTTCATCATCGATAAAAGTAATTCCTATTTTCACATTTATTTTTGTTTAATATGGTGAATATATAACAATAGAATTGTATCAAAATGCTTTATACAAAGCTTATATATATATATATATTTTTTTTTTGAGTTTACATATGTATGTATGTATGTATGTATGTATGTATGTATTTAATATTAGTTACTTAGTTATGACATTATAGATTGACCCATTTGACCCCAAATGTTAGACCATTAACCCACCTACCATCTAGATATGGAAATGGTTTCATTTTCAAAGCGGTTTTAAATTTTGCATTTCATTTATATTGATAAAATAATTATTATTTATCATACTTATTTTTGTTTATATTGTTAGTATATAATATTATAAATGTGCTTCAAATTATTTCAGATTCTTTTGTACTATTATATTTTAAAAAAATATTTTTAATTATACATCATAGGTTAACCTATTTGACCTGAAAGGTTGAACCACTAATCCACGCCCTATATAGGAAGATGCTTTAATTTTCCATCGGTTTTAAGTTGTATAGTTGATGCCCATCATTAATAAAATTATGTCTATTTTATCATAGTTATTTTTTAATATAAAAATATATAATAATAGAAACGTGTCCAATTTTTTCAAAATTTCTTTTCTTTTTTATATTTATAAATTTCTATTATTTATTTATGACATCATGAAATTATTCATTTGACCCCAATGGTTGAAGTACTTACCCATGACCTAGATGGAAAATCTAATTTCATTTCTGGGTTTATTTTAAAAATATAAAATTTCATTCTATTAATAGTTAGGGTAAAATACAAAAACTCCCTTGAAGTTTCTAACAATCATAAAATCCTCTCCTATAGTTTCACTTTAGCAAAAACCTCCCCTCTATTTTCGAAAAAATCAACAAATACCTCCCTTCCGTCAATGACCATGACAGAAAACATTTAACCAATCATCTTTTTTTTCAAAATACCTATTTTACCCACATTTTTTTCTTTTTTTTTTCATTTCCTTTTATCTAATGTAGAATTGGAAGTATGAGCTTTAAACTTTGGAGTTAAATCAAGAGGGTTGAGACATGAGAGAGAAAGAGAGAAGTGATGAGATAGTAGCCAAGGCAACAAAGTGAGATGGGGCAGAGGAGGCGTCAGAAGGGATGGGAAAGACGAGACGAGAGATGATCAGGTACGGTAATGACGTCTAAGGGTAAAAATGTATTTCTACACGATTTCCGTCTTGGTCATTAACGAAAGGGAGGTATTTGTTGATTTTTTCAAAAATAGATGGAAGGTTTTTGCTAAAGTTAAACTATAGGGGAGGTTTTTATGATTGTCAGAAACTTCATGGGAGGTTTTTGTATTTTACCCTAATAATTATTGTGTATGGATTTATTTGTGGAATTTAATGATGATAAGCAAAAGTATTTTTATATTTATAAATTTGTATTATTTATTTATGACATCATGAAATTATCCATTTGACCCAAATGGTTGAACTACTTACCCACCACCTAGATGAAAATATGATTTCATTTCTATGCTTATTTTAAAAATATAAAATTCCATTCTATTAATAATTATTGTGTATGGATTTATTAATGGAATTTAATGATGATAAACAAAAGTATAAATGTTGGATTCAATGATAGATAATGTGATTTATTTAATGACTTAAATGTGAGGTTTAATGAGAGGTAATTGAATGTACTTAATGGTATTCTTTTAATTACATTTATGCCCTTTCAATGGAGATTAACTAAATTCAAGAGGAAGGGTATTTCAGTAAAGAAAAATTCCATAAGCCAATACCTCCTCATTCGCACTTTTATAAATAGTATAGATAAATCTCTAAAGAAATTGCAAAAAATCAATTATAATTGAATTAACTTAATGAGACAAAGCCCGAAGCACAACTAATGGAAATAGTTGTTGCATTAAGATGTGATAATCATGGCTCTTTAGTTAAAAAATTTTACATGTTTGAAGATTGATATGTCGTGAAATATTAAATACATACCTATTAGGAACCTTAATATCCTTCAACATTTTGCAAAAAATTTCCTTCTCTTTTTTATTCATTGTGAAACAAGCTGCTCAAAATAAAACTTATGAATTACAATTTCTTGTGGGTGAAGTGATGGCCTAATGTCCATTTCTTGCAATGCACAACGAGTTTGTAAATGATTTTTTTGTCTTTTTTTTATGTGTGAAAGAATGCTTATAATACCTTCACATACATTTTTCTTAATGTGCATGATACCTAAATTATGACGCAATTCTAAGGATTCTCAATATGGAAAATCAAAGAATATGTTTTTCTTCCTCCAATTTGTTGTTTTGTTTTTCTTTTATGCCTCATCATTATTATCCTCCATATTTTTGCTCTACTCCATGACCATGTAATCATGTATCTGATTCAACACTTTAAACCCAAATAGAAGTCTACCCCTTCCAATTATAATTCATTTAATTCCTTAATCTATAGTTTTAAGTATATATCAATATTCATTCAGGGTCCAAATGGACCAAGAATAAGTAGTAACATAATTATAAATGACTTCTTCGTACATCAACATTCAATCCACAATGCTTCGTTGGTCAAAATGTTAAGCCATGTCAATAGTTTGTATACACTTATCTATATCTGATGAAATATAGATCTCACCATTGAATTGAACTTAGGTAAATTATCATTCCATAGCCTAGTCAATGCATGGGTCCTTACTGGTGAAAAAACTCCACATCTTGATGGTTTAGGATTAGCCATTTGGGTTGGTTTTGGGTAATAGAGATAAAGTGGATGACTTATTTGATCTTGCTTGCTATGAACGTCTTCTTGTATACATCTTGGCAAATCTCTTTAACAATCAAAGAAAACACAAAGGGTTTGCAAAGATTGGAGATAGCATGCATCTTCCAACATAATTCCATTGAAAGCATAGTTGAAGAAGAAAAAAAAAAAAAAATCTATGCTGCCAAAAAGATGTGATACCAAAATGGCTTTAATAAATACTCCCTGCATAAATTTGATAAATAATCACCTGATTAATTGCCACTTTTTGTGATTAGCGGAACCCATAGTTGAAACCAATTAGTTGAAATTTCATTCCTTTTGCATGGAGATACAATGAGTTTTGTGAATTTGTCAAGTTTGTAAAAAAAGGAGAGGAAATTTTAAGATTTCTAAATGTTGGATTCCCTTTAAAGGGTTAAAATGAGGATACAAAGGGAATTTTGATGTTTTTAGGGCAAGTTATTTTGAAAATGTAACATCTATTTACATTATCATAAAGCATATCCTTGTCTTGGTTTTGGTGCAAGCCATAAAATTGAAATTTAGTAACTTTTATACAACTTATATCTTTACCCTTATCCTTTACACTTGGTATTATTACGAAGTGGATATTTGCCTTGGTCTCGTTAAATTTGATTTTATGTTGTTAAGCTTATTCTTTACCTTGTGTTTGATAAAAATTTATACTTTACCTTTTATTTATACATGCACATTATACTAATGTAGGCAAAATATTATAGATTTTAATGCAATGTATTTTTGTATACACCGCAAGAGAAGAAACACAAGAAGAAAGAAAGGAAAAAGAAAAAGACAAGAGAAACACCTTGAAACCAGCTAAGCACTACGACCCACGAGAATAAGCTATTCCAATGGCAACGAGGAGTATAAGGTACTGAAGATCCTACGTCCCATGATGGAGGAAGCATTTGTACGTAATCCTAGCTGCTATGCTTTGAGGAATTAGCTTGCAATCTTCTAGGAGATAAAGACATGATCATGAAACCTTGCTAACCCTTGCAGAATATTTATTACCATTAGCGAGTCACCTTCAATGATGATGGAGAGCATTTCATTTGCATGGCAAGCTTGTAAGCTTCATAGGCAGTTAGGTGTGATTATGAAAAACTGAAGAAACGAACTCAACTAGTGAGACCAAACCAAAAATTCTGGTTAACTGAATTGGCCCGATTTAGTATTTTCAAAAAATAAAGGTATTGGTTTGATTTTGGTTAAGTAATATAAAAATTGGCAGTTAACTGAATCAACCGATATATATATATATATTTATAATATATAATATATTAGTTATTATTTATAATATAGTATTATATATATATTTCTAGTTTTTATTATATATTTATCTATAACATCTATCTATTATAAAAATTAGAAAACCAAAAAACAAACAAAGCGAACTGATATTTAATTGAACCAATGAATCAGTTAACCGATCTATTTGAAACTAATACTATTGATTTGATTTGAAAAATAGGCCACGGTTCGATTAACTGAAGTGTAAGCACCCATACGCAACCCACATTTCCATCACATTGAGGCCCCATTTGGGTCGTTGGAATAGGGATTTGGAATTGGAATGAGAATGGGCTATTCTAAATCCAAATGATTAGTTAGGTGGAATCAAAATCCCATTCTCATTATTGTTGGAATGGCATTCCCTCATTTGAGAGAATGACCATTCCCTACCCCTCCATTGGAATGAGAATGACCGCTCTTTTCGTTCTCATGCATATACTCATCGACGACTCGGGCATCCATCTCCATAAAAAAGGGGAGAAAAACCCGAGAGAAAGACAGAGGGGGAGGTCTAAAAATGGAGAGAGTGGACTTTAGCGTTAGGAGACAAGGGTAATATTGAATTTTGAAAAAATTTTGACGTAGGGTCACATGTGTACAAATTGTGAACGAGAGGGTAAAGTTAATGAATTGTCACAAAGGATAGTGTTAATCAATTTTGGTAGTTTAAGAAATTTACCCTTTAATAAACTATACAGGGGCTCATTTTAAATAAACCCTAGGGGTATTAACCCCGGTTGGCACCTTGCAAAAAGCCGTTGAGTATTAAACCCTTATTATTTGGAAAAGCCGAAGCCGTAAGTATTTCTAATTTACCCAATCATTTGTTCTTCAATCCCATGGGTTCTGCAAACAAACACCATCATCGCCCACAACCTTCTTCCACCGCCATAACCGTAAAAGATCAGAACAAAGTTTCTCACCTCCCTCGTTATCAACAGCTCGACAGTTTTGGGCAACCCACTACGAGCAGCGACACTGAGGAGAGAAACCCTAACCCTAATACTCTTGCATTTAGAGATTCTGATATGGAGAAGCGTCCTCTCGCCGACGATAGCGGCGCAGATGCTTTTCTCTGTAACTCCAACTTCCTGACTCGTCAAGAAGTGATTCGACGTCGTTCTCGTCGAGTGAAGCAACTTGCCAAGTGCTACAAGGACCATTATTGGGCGTTAATGGAGGAATTGAAGGTTAAGTACAGGGAGTACTATTGGAAGTATGGAAAGAGTCCTTTTAAGGAGGAGGACGAAAATGATAATGGAGGAATGGGGATAAATGGTGTAAAAGGAAGCGGGGAGAATAACAGGGCAGGGTTGGGATTAGGGCCTGGGGAGAACAATATTGATGGAAAGAACAACCGGTGTGCTTTTCCAGGATGTAAGGCAAAGGCGATGGCACTGACGAACTATTGCCAACCACATATTCTCTCGGATAGCAAGCAGAAGCTCTATAAAGCTTGTACCTATGTCATCAAGAGGTTCATTTTCTCCTTTTCCCTATTTTTTTCTGCTTATTTTTTATCAATTTCTTACGTTAGGATCTTCCTTTATTAGTCAATTAAGGGTTTATTGTTTTATTTGGTCTTTTGATACATTGGCTTTGCTTTTCTTATTTTCCCTTGGGTTTTGGTTGATTACTAGAGAATGACCCCGTACTAAATACTGGACAACTACACCTATATATCATTTTGTGTTTGAGATTTTGAATTTATATGATATATTTAATTTCAGTTCCTTATTAAATTAGGTTTAATTTGTAATCGGAAACTTATTTAATCTAGAATAATAAGTCCCACATCTTTTGAAGTGGGTAATTTTCTGATAGGTAGACACATGTACCAGGAAGTTAACGCTTTGAGAGTGGGTAGACTTTTGTTTCAAGAAAGAGCATCTAAGGCAGCTTCAATTTGAGAGTGGGTAGACTTTTGTTTCAAGAAAGAGCGTCTAAGAAAGCTTCAACTTGAGAGTGGGAGTAATCCACTTCTTACATGTTCTTTCTTGAAAAAAATAAAATGCCACTTGTTGTAAGGAGAAGCTCTCTGGTGTGAGGGCTTTGTTTTAATATATACTAGAAGAAAAGAACTTTGTGATACAGGGGTTGGTGTTAAAAAGATGCCCATTTATATTCAGTTTCTTAACTGAAGTGGTTGTGGGTGATCTTAAATAGTCCCATGTTTAATTTTTAAGTTTTAAAATTAAAAAAAAAACCACAAAATTCTAAAGGGGATGGGAAGCAATATTAGGACTCTGACATGGACAATTGCGTTTTAGAATATAGTGTATATATCGATTAGATTTGTGTTTTCTATTATTTTCTATTCCTTTAGGATTCAAACTGTTTGAGTTCCTTCATCCTAGTAGAAATTGCTTCAACTTTCTCCCTATATTAATATAACTTATTGTTGGCATAACTTTTTTTTGATGAATGAAGAAATTTATTAATTCAGAAAAAACAGTACAGGAAACACTGAAGAGGCACGAGCTGTTACCTCTTCAGAAAAGTATTACATCAAAGTAAAACAGAATTAACCATAAATATAATTACAAAGCAGCCCAAAATAACTGCTCCCTTGTAGCCCCCTGCTTAGCTAACCCATCCGCTAAGGTGTTTGCTGATCGAGGTAACTGTCATATTTCTTGTAAGCCAGTTGACTTTCCTTAATAAATCTCTGTGTTGCCACATGGCTGAATCTGGGTCTTTCAACCATCCCACAACAATTTGAGTCTCTCCTTCAACTACCAAGTGCTGAACTCCTAATTGTTCTGCAATCTGAATACCTTGTACCGCCACTAAAATCTCAGCTCTATTAGAGTCTCCTATTCCCATGGGGCCTGAAAACAAGGCTTAATATGTTGCTCTCTGTGTCTCTCAGCACCCCTCCTATCCCTGATGGGCCTGGGTTTCCTTGGATGCTGCCATCAAAGTTCAGCTTTCCCATCCTTCAGGCAGAGGGGTCCACACTATAGATTCCCTATCCTTCCTTGTATGGTTGTTAGCCACCGCTATCCAGTTTCTCCAAATATCATCAAAGGAAAAGGTATGAAAGAAGTCCAAAGTTCTCAACTAGTGGATGGCCCTAGTTAAGATACAATCCTCAACAGCCTAAATGCTTCTTTCATTTTTCTTGAATATCCTTGCATTCCTTTCTTTCCAAATTATCCACAATGCGGCTGCTCTAATACATCTCCACATCAATTTTCCTTTTTTTTGTAGGCCACACAAAAAAGGAAGGATCGAACAGTTAGCTCAAGTCTGTGAACAGATTCCACCTACACCCAAACAAAGAAAGAATCCAATTCCAAATAGCTTTAGAAAAGGAACAAGATACAAGTAGATGGGAGCAATCCTCACCACTAGCCGTGCAAACTACACACCAGTTAGGGGATAAACACATGAAAGGATTTTTCCTCTGCAAGCAATCCAAGGTATTAATCTTTCTATAAAACACCTCCCAGCAGAAAATAACAATTTTAGGTGGAACTGGTTTAGACCAAATCTCCTTAGTTGGAAAACCCATTGACTCAAGGAAGAGCAAAGAGCCTTAAAAAAAGAAGCACAAGAGAAGTAACCTTTTGGATGAGGGGACCATAATCTCACATCCACACTAAGAGGGTCCAAGAAGACATTGCCAAGCAGAGACAACAGATCTGAAACACTATTAAGTTCATCATCCCTTAACCCTCTCCGAAAGCCAAAGTCCCAACTTAAGGACGAGGGTGAAAAAGGAGAAGGGAGAATATGAGAGATAGTTTTTTCCTTGTAAAGGGAAATCGAATAAAGGACGGGAATTGGTCTTTTAGAGCATCAAAACCCACCCAAGTGTCTTCCCATAATAAAATAGAGTTACTAGAGTTGACATCATACCTGACAAGGTTGAGAAATTGAGGGAGGATACTCTGGATTGCTTTCCAAGGAGATGCCAATGTTGCTTGCCGTGATACACCCGCATCCCATCCATTTTCCAATCTGCCATGTATACTCGCTATCACTTCATGCCACAACCTCTCTCTTTCTCTAGGCCATCTCCACAACCATTTTCCTAAGAGGGCTTTATTCTTGAGAGTTAACCTTCCTAACCCCAATCCACCTTTCTCTTTGCTTCTACGTTCTATTTCCCAATTAATTAAATGATCTTTCTTTTCCTCCCTTGGCTCCCAAAGAAAATTTCTCATTAATCTCTCCAACTTCTTAGCCTCCCTATTAGGAATCCTAAAAACAGATAGATCGATAGGTTCGCTAGGGTGGCTCTCAATAAAGTCACTCTACCCCCTATAGAGATGTAGTTTCTTTTCCAAGCAGGTAATCTTTTCTCATTTTTTTTTGATGAATAAATCTTTTCTCAAATTTTTCCAAAACTGGGTTACAAAAACTACTCTCTTTTGGGTTAGCCCCTAGAGGGAGACCTAGGTACTGCAAGGGCCACGAAGAGACAGGACAACCTAGACAATCTGCCACAGACTGAATAATCTCCTCATTCATATTGACTCCTACCACACAACTCTTATCCATGTTTATCTTCAAATTGGAGGCCTTCTCAAACTGTTGTAACAATGTTCTAAGGTTCCTCACTTTTTGCCTGTCACCCCCTTCACAAAATATTATGATATCATCAACAAACTGTAGATGGGTTACCCGAACATTGTTCCTTTTTATCCTCCAACCACTCACTTCCTCTTCTCTATCTGCCTTAGAGATTAATCTACTGAAAACATCTGCAATTAAGGTGAAAAGAAACGGGTAGAGTGGGTCACCTTGTCTAAGGCCTCTACAAGCTGGGAAGAAGTCTTTGACCATCCCATTGACCAAGATTGAGTAATGGTAGGAACTAATACAACCCTTTACCCAGTTGCACCATCTATCTCCAAAGCCACAACACCCAAGGATCTCCAGTAAAAAACTCCAATCCACAAGATCATAAGCCTTCTCTAAGTCTAGCTTACACGCAAAACCTTGATTTCCCAACTTTCTCATGTCCTCCACACACTCGTTTGCTATTAGGATATGATCTGTTATTTGCCTTCCTTGCACGAATGCACCTTGTGCTTGACTAATGATGGATGGTAGTACTGCTCGGATTCTCATGGACAACACTTTAGCCAAGATTTTATAGATGCTTGTCACCAAACTAATCAGCCTATAATCCTTTGGGTTCTTTGCATCTATTTTCTTTGGGATAAGGGCTAAGAAGGTCGCATTAACTCTAGGGATTACCTTTTTTTATCTGCAAATTCATGAAATACCCCAACAAGATCTTCTTTAACCACATCCCAACAATCCTGATAAAAAGTCATTGTGAAGCCATCTGGACTAGGTGCTTTGGATCTATCTATTGAAAACACTGTCTGTTTGATCTTTTCTTCACTAAAGTCCATTTCTAACCAATTTACTTGTTCTTTAGCTATCCTAGTCCAATCCAAGTCTTCCAATGTTGGCCTATTATTCAAAGGTTTCCTATAGATTGATTTGAAATGATCCACAAACAACCTTGCTATCTCATCTTGATTTGTTACTTTCTCCCCATTCACCTCTAACTTGGCCATGAAATTTTTTCTTCTCCTCCCATTAGCCAGCGCATGGAAAAATTTTGTGTTCCCATCCCCTTCCTTAATCCATTTATGTCTTGACTTTTGTCTTCACGAAATTTCCTCTCTTAAAAGGACCTCTTCCAAATCCTTCTTTAGGTTTCTTCTCAAAACCCTTTCTTGCTCACTCATCATCCTTTGGGCTTCTTTGGAATCTAATTCCTCGATCCTAGACAACAAACTAATTTTTTTCTCCTCTATTCTTCCAATTTGTTCCCTGTTCTACTCCTTAATTTTGGATTTCAACCTCTTTAGCTTTTTGTGGAATCTCACTCCCTTCCATTTCACCCCTCTTAACTCTTCTCTCCACCACTCCCCAATCAGATGCACAAAATTCGGGTGAGTCAGCCACATATTTTCAAATCTAAAAGGCCGTGGACCAGAGGTTTTTGTTTCAGGACTTATCTGGATAGGGCAGTGATCAGAAGTGACTTTGGGTAATGCTCTAGCCATCAAGTTTCTCCAATGACTCTTCCAATCTTCATTAAAGAGGAATCTATCTAATTTCGAACAAAGAGGGTTTTCTTGGAAATTGGACCAAGTAAAGTTGGCTTGTAAGAGTGGTAAATCCTTTAAGCCACAATTACTAATAAATTCATTGAACTTTCTCATGCTGGTAGTAACTGTTCTTTGGGGGTTATTAGTTTCATTACAGAACCTAATTCCATTGAAATCCCCCCCAAGGCACCAAGGACCCTCCCATAAGCCCCGTATTCCATACAATTCTTACCACATCTCATTCCTCTCTCTATAAGTGTTTGGCCCATAGACATTGGTTAGAACCCAAGTAAATCCATCCCCCACATTCCTGACCTTTACAGACACAGAGAATCTCCCTATTAGCTCCTCCACTGATTCTACAAAATCCTCCCTCCATAATGTTACTAGACCTCCA